TGGAGGGATGGACACTGGGAAGAGGTAACTATGGGGAGGAAGTGGGAGGGGAGCTGTTGCATTGTGGTAAACTGTGGTCAATGACATGAGACAAGTGTATGTGTACATACAAGATGTGTATGTGTATGTTTCCATATAAGACTTGCTGTATGGAAAGTGAATTTGCTCTGTAAATCTTCACCCAAATCACAATTTAAAAAAAAAAAAAAAAAAAGAAAGAAAGAAAGAGAGAATGAGTAGACTTGGTCTCACCTACTTTGGTCATGTTGTCAGAAGGGACTGTTCCCTGGAGAAGAATGTCATGCTTGGTAAAGTGGAGGGTCAATGAAAAAGGGAAGGCCTTCAATGAGATGGATTGACACAATGGCTGCCAATGATGGGCTCAGGTATAGCGGGAATCATGAGGCTGGCACAGGACCGGGCATTGTTTGTTCTGTTGTACGTAAGGTTGCTATGAGCTGGAGATGACTCGACGGCACCTAACAACAACAACAACAGTCTATTGCAGTTTTAGATCAGTGTTTCTTCACTTAGATTTGTAATATTCTGGTAGCTAATACTTTGCTGGAGAAAATGAGGAGGAGGAAGAGCCATTTTCATCCTTCATACACAAAAGGCATCATAATCACAACAGTCTAAGAAAGTTTGATTCTTTGGTATTTAACAATGCAGATCTGGATGAATTTGTCCAGACACACAGGGTCATTCTCCACTGTGAAGTCTCTGATGCCTAACAAGGGCTGAAGTACATGTAAAAGCTCTGCCACATTCACTGCATTTAAAAGATTTCTCACCAATATGAAGCCTCTGATGTTGACTAGGATGAGCACTTCTACTGAAGGCTTTCCCACACTTACTAAAATCAAAGGTTTTCTCTCCAATATGAACTCTCTTCTATTGAATAAGGAATGAACTCTGGCTGAAGGCTTCCCCACAATCTTTACATGTGTAGGATTTTTCTCCAGTATGAGTCCTCCAATGGCAAATAATGCTTGATTGATCACTGAAAGCTTTCTCATAATCATTACAGGTATAACGTTTCTCTACAGTGTGAGTTCTCTGATTTTGGTAGAGATGTGAACTCTGACTGAAGAGTTTGCCACATTCATTACATTCATAGGGTTTCTCGACAGCACGAATAAACTGATGTACAATAAGGGAAAAGTTGTGACTAAAGGCTTTCTCACATTCACTACACTCATACCGCTTCTCTCCAGTATGAATAAATTGATGTTCGGGATGGGATGAATTGTGATTGAAAGCTTTGCCACATTCATTACATTTATAAGGCTTCTCTATAGTATGAATTCCTTGGAAGGAAGGTTGGGCAATCTACTTCCGTAGTGATATCGCCTCAGAAATCCAAGAAGGGTTGCTATGAGTCGGGTCTGACTTGACAGCACATAACAACAACAACAACATAGTATGAATTTGCTGATGTTGAATAAAGTGTATTATCTGAATAAAAACCTTCCCACATTAATTACCTTCATAAGATTTCTCTCTAGTATGGATTGTTTGATATTGAGTAAGAAATGAGCTGTGATTAAAGGCCTTCCTACATTCTTTGCATTCATATGGTTTCTCTCCTGTATTAATTCTGTGATGTACTGTAAAGGCTGAATGATTACTGAATGTTTTTCTGCATTCATTACATCTGTAAGGTTTCTCTCCACTGTGGATTCCCTGAAGTTGAATAAATGATGAATTCTGAATTAAGGCTCTTTCATGTATATTATATTCCTTCTAACTGTGAATACTCTGATGATGTTTGGTAAGGTATGAGTTCCAGCTATAGGCTTTTCTACCCTCACAGAATTTCCCTCCAACTTTAGTTTTCTGATGTTCAGTGTGGTATACACAATGTTCAAAAGCCTTCCCCTACTGATTATATTTTTTATCTCCAGTATGAACTATACAATATTGGATGTAAACTGAGAAATCACTGAAGATATTACCACATTCATTACACTGAAAAACTTTCTTATTTGTACTGTTCTGATGTTTGGCTATATTTGAATTCTGTTTGAGGTTCTTTTCCTGAGCATCATATACAAAATGTCTCTCTTTAGGAAATCATGGTTGAATAACAAAGTCTGACTTCAGACTAAGACTTATGCCTAATTCAATACCTTTAAGGGAGCTCTGATAGCATAGTGCCTAAGGCACTTGACTGCTAACCAGAAGGCTGGTGGTTCAAACCCACCAGCCACTCCTCAGAAGGAAGATGGGGCAATTTACTTCTGTAGTGATACTGCCTCAGAAACCCA